TGAAATTTAATGCACATATTTTTCCTTATGTATGCTGCAAAATAAATATAAAATACCTCAATTTATTAAAATAGATTTCTTTCTTTCGTTTAGCTGCAGAATGTCTGCAAAAAAAAAAAAAGCCTTATTTTATTCCAGATTGGGAAGATTCTAATCTCAATCTTCAGTGGAGAAAACAACAACTATTGTAATTATATTTGTGTTTTCAAGTGTTAAGGTTTTAAGAACATACCTCACGCAAATTAAATTTACCTAAAATCTAACCTAAACTATTTAGCATTGCGTTGTGATTTTATAAGGACCGGATTAGCCTCGTGTTGAACTGGTGATGATCTTGAGTAATAATTAAATAAAACATACATTTGTTATCCAATATATATATCTTAAATTTTATTAAGTTTCTTAAGTGGAAAACTAAACAAAATTATCAAACAAAGTATACCAAGAATAATTAAGAATAAATGTCCTCTGGGATTTATTGAATAATTAAGTGAATTTGCTACACAATACAAGTAATACCATAATTAATTTACCTCTTAGCACAACCAACGTACATTACGCGGATAGACTGGAATTTTCTTGAAACACACCTGGAAAAGTCAGGGAATTTCATTCTCCTGTTTGAGTGGCAACCCTGATGAAATTATTCATATTTCACGCATTTCCTAGGCATTCTATAGAATGCCAAATGACAGACCGGAAAATTATGAAATACATTTCTGATTCGTTTCGAAGAACCAAACCAGAAGTTAATAAAAGACCAAAATGACTACTAAGAAGGAACCATGGACTACTGGCGACTGAATCGCTAGGATGCGATGTTTGTGGAAAACATTAATCCTGATTTTAAAAAAAGGCATTGGTACTATAAAGTATTACGTCATAGACGCTCAGCTATTTCCCGTACTTCATGAAAATTCATTGAAGTGCTGGACACGAATGGCGTGACAGAATGTTAAAAGAACTTTCAACCAAATGCAAAAACGATACACATAATGATATTGAGCTGTGTACAACCATCTTTGTGAGCCCTGCCAGAAGAAAACAAAAAGGTATTAAAAAGCACATTGTTAGTGAAGATTGTTTCTGAATTTAATTTCCGCTGTCAAGTAGATATTAATGATTCCTAGTGAAGATTGTTTCTGAATTTAATTTCCGCTGTCAAGTAGATATTAATGATTCCTAGTTTCAGCCAGATAAAAATACAAATTTAATATCTTGTATCAAGATTATCTCGCCTTTTTTTTTTTTTTTTTTTTTTACATATTCCGAATAACAGCTTTTTAATTGCACTCTTTCATCAATGTTTCAAAATAACAATTGTATTTTTGAGAAATCTTTTTAATAATCATAACCTTTTTTTAATACTTTGCCTAAAGAGCTTTTGTCATTCTATACAGTACCTAGAGAAAGTATGTAATAATTCTCATATTTCATACTTTGATTAAAATCATTCAGCATTATATACCAGGGTTCATATGTTCCTTAAGATTCCTAAAGTTTCTTGGAATCGATTTTTGGTCCTTAAAAGTCCTTAATTTCGGCCAAAATAGGCAGAAGGTCCTTAATTTTAATTATATATGAACTTTCTGTTTATTATTACGACTGTCATTTTGAGTGTGAATTAACATTTTGGAGGAATATTTTTGGTGTTTCGCTGACAAATATGGTTATCTTTTGAATGGGTAAAGGCATTCATGGGTTAGAATTTGTTCCTATTTCTAATATATATGGTGAAAGAGTTTCTGAGCAATAAGTGAAACATAAGCATTTCGAAATTATTTCATTTTTTCTAATGAAGAGCTCTTAAACAACTTTCCGCTTTTGGGGATGTAAATTCTTTTTATTATTATTATTATTATTATTATTATTAAACGGTTCTAAATTTGACAATTTATCAACATTTTGTCGATTTTAAGATAAGTTTCGATAGAAAATTTTTAATTCCAAGATCTGGGAATTTTTTGACGATTTAGAACATTATATCATTGATACATTTGATTAAAATAATGGCAATGTATTGTAATTATATTTAAGAAATAAAATTAAAGTAAAGCATTTTTATTTTTCGCTGTCATATTATAAATTCCATTTTGGCCACTTATACAATATTTTGAATCTGAGAAATAAGGAAGGTATAATGCTATATAACAGCACAATTTACAAAACAGTTCTTAGCAATAGCAATATAATTAATTAAAAATGTCTTTTAAATTTTTTCATGGTAAGAATTTTACCATTTAATTGTCTCAGAATACGCACCAGTTTTCTCTATAAAATTAATTTTACACTTTTTGCCGATCTCTCTCTCTCTCTTTTTTTTTTTTTTTTTTTTTTTTAAATATTTCTGCTTTTTTGCTGTTACAGAATTGGTTAGGAGTAATTTTTCTTTAGGATTTTAGACATTGCAGTGTGGAAATAGAAAGATTTGAAAACAAGATTTATAGACCCACGATTCTATAAAATGTCTCCATGGTATTAACACGTAATGGATGTTTTACAGAAAGTTTGCGATAATTTCTTTTTTTGGAGAACGTCTGGAAGAACAATGAAAACATAATAGTTTGAATGTTTTACTTTTGAATACTAGAATCCTTTTTCTTGAACATTTTATTGTCTTCCCTTTATTTTCTCTACTTTTCACTAGTTACACAAGCATGGAAAATATAAAAAATGCCTTCTAATCTTATGACATGGGCAGGCAATATATAAAAGAAGTTTTTTTATTTATAAAGAAATTGAAAACTGACAATTTAAAAGATATCTAATATGTCTTAATGCATCATACAGAGGGCTGGCACGAGGTATTTTCTCACCTGATGCAATCTCTGTGGATCCTCAATTCTGCTGCTTGGTGCCTTTCTAAATTCTGCTTCCAGTGCTTGTTTTAAATTTTAAAAGTTTCGTCATTTCTAGATTTTGTTGCTCAGTGTGTCACTAAATTCTAAAAATTATGCCACACCAGCTCTGTAACCAAACATTACCATATATATTTCATATTTCTTCTGAATTTTCACATTACTAGAGAAATAAAATTAGCAGCTTTTCTAAATGCATTTAGTTTTTTTAGAATAACAGAAATCTAATTAAATCCAAAAATTCTAAAATGAAAAGGAAATGTGGAAGAAAGAAACCAAATACATAAAGAGATAGAAAATTGTTTTTCAAAGATATGTACAGTTATTTCTATGTAAATTTTCCAGTTGTTCACAATTTTAGCGTTACTATAAAGTGAAATTAAATTGACCACTAGTCCATATTTTTAGTTTTAATTTGACTCTTCTTGTTTAATTACATCTCCACGAGCTGTAATTGACTTTGTTAGCCTAAGAAAATGCCTTTATGTATAAGTTCTTTTTAAATAAGAAATTTATTTAAACCTGTCTGACTTTGGTGTTACTTTCAGACATAGCGATAATTTGCTTCACATTTGTTGGACAGTTTTGGACTATTTAACTTTTACCAGCTCAAGTAAACGCTCATAAGTACATTGTGGAGAGGTTGACAAATTAGGAGATAAAACACTCAGAAACTAGCAAGAACTTTTTGTATACTGAGACAAATTTCTGATTGCTAGAAAAGATGCTTAAAGAGAAGGAAATCTATATAAATTAGCCAGAATGTCTGGGAAGGCTTCAAATTAAAAAGATGCATAAATATTTTGTTGAGTGTTGTTGCTACAAAACATAAATGGTTTGCAGCTTTTAATGTGGAATTATCCTAATATTGTTTAAGAATCAATGTCATAAAATACATATGTTTTAAACTGTGAAATGTTATTAGATTATGATTTTAATAGGGCTTTTTCAACAAATATTGTTAAAAAATAAGATTTAAGTGGCCATGCAAATCCATAACGAATAAGATTATATAATACCTAATTTAATAACTTTAACTAACTGCTTACCCTTAAAAATTATCTCTGCATATTAAAGCGAGTTATTGCCTTTCATTAACCCTTACCGTGGTCACAAGATAAAACACAAAAAAATGTAAAAATTCATGTAAAACTTATTCTTCGCATGTAGTGAAACTTAAAATTATGCAAAACAATTTATCACCTCTTGTACTTTAGTGAATTATTAGAACCTTAAAGTATATTAAGAGTTACACCCCTTGGAACTTTACGTGAAGCTACGACACTAACTTATCAGACAAGAGCCCAGCTAACTTTCAAAACTTGCTAACCATGCTTATATCAGTCCTTTCAGGTTTGTTCTGATCAGCAGGTCTCTCTCTAGGCAAGCAGGAGTGGGGACAACAGTCAGTCTTTTGTTTTGAATCATGTTGATGATGATTTTAGTTCTCATTTTAACCTATCTCGCTTGACATAAAATCTACTTACTATTTTCTAAACCTCTAGACTCAGCAAGTATGCGACAAAATGAGACATTAAAAAAAATCAACATAAAGCTAACTGTTAGTAAAGCCTAAATAAAATGTCACTTATCTTTCAAATATGTCCAATTATTATAAGTATAAAATATTTAATGCTACTTGATAAATTTCATAAATTTTATTTTATATTATTTTCATATATTTTTTATGCTTATTAATAATTATGTTAATAAAGTTACATTTAATAATAATGCACCCTACTTGTGAATCTATTTTATTTTTAGAATGGTATTAAGTGAAGTTCAGGCATAGATAATATTTTTAATTGAATTTATTCAGTTCCCATTTGCTCATAGGTCCTTAATTTTTTTCCATTAATAGTCCTTAAAAGTACTTAATTTGCGTGTGCAGAAATGTGTACGAACCCTGTATACAACGCCTAGAATTCTATAGAATGCCAGCATTTCATACTTTGCTGGTAATATACATAATTATTGTAATAGTTTTATATGAAATTTAGTTTTAGACATTGAATTTACAATATTTTTTATAATGACTTTTATATTAAAAGCATATATATCTCTACTGGATTTATTTTTCTAATTATTCTTCTCTTGAAAAACACATTTTCAATATGTTTCCTACTTTTTTTATCTTCACAGATTTGTGACTTAGCTCATGAAGCGACCATTGAACAAGCTATGACAGATCTGTTATTTTTTACAGAAAACAAAGGGAAATTAAGATTGGACACACTATAAATTTTGTATATATTTTTTTTTAATTTTATATATGTAAAATTTCTCATTTCCAAAAAAATAAATTATACATGTAAAATCTTAAAACTGTACAGCTTGATTTACATTAATTTCATTATAGAATTTCAAATGTTGAACAGAATTACTGTATACAGAAATCATTATCCTCAGTCTCTGTATTACTGTCATCATTGCACACATCTTCAATTAATTTTTGCATTGCTTTTTCTTCACTATCATTTTGCAGATTCTCATTTGTGACTGCTTCAATATTGTTTTTGTGTTCACTTAAAGAAGTAGAACGAAGAAAATTGCCAAGTGTAGGGTGTAACTCCTTTCCCAATACATTCACTGTTGCACAGTAAATGATTAACAGTCTCCATAAATCACCTAAAATTCATAACAGAATATTAAAACTTTTATAATCTCATAATTTCAACGTAAAAAAGCTAAATGGTTATAGGAGTTATAATTTTAATTTTAGGGGTCAAAGACAAATTTTAAAACTGAATAAACAATTATAATCCAAAATCATTTAATAACAATAAACTTTAAGTCTGTGTATTCATGGAAGGAATATGATTAATTTTTAAAAAGGAAAAGATAAAGAATATTGGTCTCAAAAATTGAATTATAAATTATTTGTGCTTTATAAATTTTACAATTTAGGACTTTATATTATTTCTCTCCAAATTTTAAAGAAAAACATTACTTTAACACTCAAGCACCTGTTAAGATCTAATGCATGCTTCTCTTCATGATGTCTTGATGCTTAGTCATACATTACTGTGGGTTTTTGCTTGCAAAGGCACATATAGATTAAAGGATATTATGGAGTCATGAAATGAGCAGTTAATAGCATTAATTCTGATTTGCTAACAACAGAAATTAAATACATAAAGATGCATCCCATAAATGCAACATGAATTTTACACAAGTCAAAAAATAATAAATTGCCTATGGTTGACTTTGTAAGAAACTGCAATATTTATAATTATTATTTGCGTATATACACTCTTAAACAAAAAAAAAAAAAAAAAAAAAAAAAAAAGATACACCAAGAAGGAGTTATGCGAATGGGACACAAATTGGTAAAAGTGAAGTACATGTAAAGAAAAACAAATGATTACAGTTTGAGAAAAATTGGATGATTTATTGAAGTGATAGAGCTTTACAAAGTGAAAAGGTCAGTAACGTGTTTGTCCACATCTGCAGCAGTTATTCTCAGCAGTATGCAACAATTAGTAGCTCTGCAGCAGTTAGCAGTAATGCAGGCAGTTATTCGGCTTGGCTCGATTGATAGAGGTTGCGGATGTTCTCCTGGGGGGGATATTGTGCCAAATTCTGTCCAACTGGCGTGTTAGATCATCAACATCCCGAGCTGGTCGGAGGGCCCTGCCCATAATGTTCCAAACGTGCTCAATAGGAGAGAGATCCGGCGACCTTGCTGGCCAAAATAATGTTCGGCAAATAGTAGAAACCTGTGCAATGTGAGGGCAGGGCATTATCTTGCTGAAATGTAAGCCCAGGGTGGCGTGACATGAAGGGGAACACAACGGGTTTTGGAATTTCATCGATGTACTGCTGTACTATAAGGTTGCAACGGATGACAACCAAAGAGGTCCTACCATGAAATGAAATGGCACCCCAGACCATCACTCCTCGTTGTCAGCCTGTCTGCCGGAAGACAGTCAGGTTGGTATCACACCAAGCGGGACTCATCACTGAAGACTATTCTACTTCAGTCAGTGGCATTCCAGTGCGAATGAGCGCGACACCACTGCAAACGGGCTTGATGTTGTACAACAGAGATCAATGGTAGTCGATGCAAGGGGCAGCGTGACCTCAGCCCCCTTTCTGTGAGCAGTCTATGAATGGTCCTTGCGGTCACTGAAGCACTAGTTGCACGTACAATCAATGATAATGATGCATCTGGGGCTGTAAGTACCGCTCTTACGATTACTCGGTCTTCACGTTCTGTCGTTTCTCTAGGTCTACCACTTCCTTCTTGACGCTGTGTGCGGCCATGGTTCACCCATTCCTGCCAACATCATCTAATAGTGGCATTGCTCCTGCTCAAATGTTGAGCTATTCGCTGATAAGACCAACCAGCTTCTTTGAGCCCAACTACACGACCTCTCTCTCAGTTCTGACATCTGCACATATCGATTTGCACACCTGTATGCGAGGCATAGTTACTGTCTTCCAGAATACACGGAATGAAATTCATAAAGAATTTATGACCTGGAATCGTAATTTCTCCTCTTAAATATCCTGCCAGTTGTGCAGATCAGATGTGCTGTAGCGACAACTGTTCATTCATTGGCACCCAAAATGTAAAATTTTGCATTTTCCGTCGAAACTTGTATGCATATCAATTTATGTCCAATTTGCTTTTTATGTTCTTGGTGCATCTTCTTCTTCTTCAACCCCCCTAAGAGTGTATATATGCATGCAAGATAAATTGTAATTTAAATTAGCAATAGCCCTTTGATGCATATGCTTCTTTATTCGTAAGACAGTAATTACTTTTTGCATTGCACCATTTCGAGACTAATTCACACCATATGACTCTTGCATACCGCTGTTGATGTAAATAAAACTAAAACAGCCATTAATAATTTTACAGCAGTATTAATTATTCAATTAAAATGCATTGAGAACCAAAATTAACTCATTCTGAATTAAGGTTTCATCCTGAACACAACTGCATTTGATTTGTACACTTAAGCCTAGCTGGACTGCTGTTCTCTTCTTAATGCTAAGTTATCAAAAATATAAACATTTTGAAATAGACATAAGTAGTGTGTCAAGTTGTTTGTGGCCACAACATGCTTACTGAAATAAAAATCGAGATTTAATCTGCCTTGGCTGCCAGTTTCCTAGTCATTATGGATCAAGATTCTACGCAGTCAAAATCCTTGCTCTTCATTATGGATTCTACGTCACCAGTATTTCTGCGTATCTGTGCTATCAATATTTTTACAACAGAATTGCTTCTAAGTCAATTTGCTTTATTATAATGATGAAATGCCATGTTTCTCCATCTATGTCATCAACTGTTCCTATGCAATCATTATTGCTAATTTATTACATATATACTCAGACATCCATATCCGCATATGCATATTATTTATTTACACAGTACCATTTTATGTATGAAATATCATGCAGCAGTATTTACCCAGAATAAAATCATGAAAATAAAGAAAAATACTAATGCTTTGACTCTTCCTCTGTATGTTGAAAGCTACTCAGTGCCATCTGTGTTATCTTGATGATGATGTGAACAGCATCTTACAAACATGTCTTAGGGTCACACTCTTTTTGTTATTATAAATTACTTTGTAATTCGATATATTGGAATGAAATGATTTGCTAACATTTCTCGAACCACTCGGTGTTTGGATCTATTGATTTTAATTTGCTAGTATTACGTCTACCAGGTTAAATATATCAGCCCTTTGTTGTTACATTTCTGAACAGTATTCTGCTTCTGTATCCAATCTTCTATCCGACAAGACAACAACTTTGTTATCTCTGAAATCGTGCCCAATCTTAGTAATGATTATGTCCTTCAACGTAACATCTTCCGTACTTTCAACACTGAAACTTTATCCTTTACTATTGTATTTGGTGTGGAAATAATTAATATGCTTTAAACTTCTAAAATGACTGCTAACTATAGTTTCTTATATTAATTACCAGTTCATAAATATTGACATCAAAAGTGATAAACGTGTGGCTAAACTAACCATGCAAATATAAGTTGTGGAAAGGAAGAATTGTTTAAAGAGTCCATATTTCGAATTGGTAAGCTTCAGCTTGAACAATACAGCTTTTGTGCACTTATGTAACTGTGAATTTAAAAAAGCTGCTTATTATGCAAATTGGGAGGGAAAGGTAGTGTAGTTGTAAGCTTTATTTTTTTTTAACCAACTTCATTTAGTGTATTTGTATTTTTGTTGGATACACTGGTTTCCCCCATCGATTGTTCGTTAACTAAAACATAAATACAGTCAAATACAGAAAATCCGTCAACTCCTGAAATACGCGTTGCCTCTCAAAATATAAACATTAAGTTTATAGGTTCCGGAAACCGCAACATTGAGTACGAAGTATCGAAGAAAAAATACCTACCGAATAATAATGATTCATAACGGAAATACCAAATTATTGACATCATGATAAAAGTTTTTCCCTTCCAATTTGCATCGAGATAAAAAAAGCAGAACTTGAAAGATTCAACTCTTCTTTCAAGTTCACAATTCACGTTGTATTTTCTGAGCTTTGTTATTTCAGAAGATTATTTAGTGCTGCTTTTTTTTTTTTAATCCGGATATTTTGTGGATAAATTGAGAATATTTTTAATTTCAGCCCTTTTTAATACAATTACAGATAAGAAACACACTCATGATTTTACTGCTTGCAACATTGAAAAACGTAAATACGTTGCATTGACGGTAATGCAAAAAGTGCAAATTCTGCAAAAGCTGGAGGCAGGTGCTACTCCTCGGTTTATAGCAGAATCGTATGGAATTACGACATGATTGTGTATGATATACGGAAAAAATAAAGAAAAGCTGTTGAGATTTTACAGCAACAGTGATTCTAACACCAGAATCTGAAAACGGAAATCTTTGCACAAGGCGAAATCGGGCAAACCTTGATGCTGTGTACATATAATACAATGAATAATATAATCAATTTATGTATGTAATAATAATTTAATGCATATAATAAGTTATTGCAATAATGTGTATAATAATTTAATTAAATGTATCTAATACGCTTTATTTATCTTGCACTTTTAGTCTGAATATTATGATTTATCTTTTCTGTCCTGAAATCCGCAAAATCCTAAAATCCACACAACCTCTGGTCCCAAGCTTTGTGGATTTCTGGACTTCTACTGTACTATGCTTGAAAGATAGGTAAAAATAATTATGCCTATTACACATAAATGCATGTAACTAATATATGAAGGGGTTGATTTATATCATTTATACTCCTATATATTTAGAAAGACCAGAAAAAAAGTTTAAGACGGGATCTCTGTTGAATTTGAGAATTGTTTTGAATTGGTAAGAGATATTTAGACATATCTATCATATGCTAGGTCCCTTTCCGATAAATGTGATGTGCCGCAGCAGTTAGGAATTCATAATGACTTTTATGCTGTCAACTTCAGAGTATTGATCGTTTGCAAAAGAAATGTCAGGCTGATTATTTGCTTAATATCTGATTATATCGAGAAGAAAAAAACTACAGTCAAAAGTCGTTAATTCGGGCACCCATAATCCGGAATGATCTATAAATCCAGACATCAAAGCTAAAAATTTTCTGCGCATGCGTCTCTTTGACGCATGCCGTAAGACGTTTATGGCTGC